GCGCCCCCCGGCCTGGACCATTGGCGAAGGCCGGGGGGGGGGGGGGGTGAAACATTGTCAGCGGGTGTTTTATGGACTATTAGTAGTGATTCAACTACCTGTCAGGTACACTTTAAATGTAAGTCTGCGGCTCTCTAATGTGCAATTGTTTTGTGTTTGCGTTGCTGTGCATTTAAATTGCCTAATATGTGCAGCTAAACCAGGTCGTTTCTAGGAGTGCGCATATGTGCGCGCAGTTAATTGAAAATATTATGCAGAACAGGGGAAGACCATGCAGGTGTAATTTCACAGGCGTGCGGATTGATGTTAGCCTCTGTGCATTGTGGGGGATAAGTCATACGTCTCCAGAGGGGGAGAGCAGAGAGAGTGAATGAGGTGCAGAGAGGCGAAGCATACACTGATGGGAAGGTGAACAAATATAATTAAAGCTATTATTAAATAGGGGGATCTCTTCATGGAATTCGAACAGCAAAACAGCGGAGGGATGGCGGGGAATGCAAACGGCGAATAATGGAGAGCTCATCAGTAACTACTACGTCAGCTACGGAGATTTAAAGGGTAACTCCAACAAGTTTTGAATTGAGAGTCATGCATAGTTAATCCAGAAGAGGTGACATGTAAATGAAGGTCGATATAAAGGATACATTTATCCAGTGACAGTGAGTGCCAGTAAGCTGAGTACATATGACGTTGATTCATATTAGCTACTACATTGTAAAGCATTAGGTAGTATTGTGATAATAATTCATAGCTTATTCATCCACAGAAACTGCAGGTACATTCGGTCTGGTTCTCCACATTCGGTCTGGTTCTCCACCAGCCATTGTTAGAATGGAGCAAAAATGAATGATAGTATTTCTCTTCTAGTTGAATGATCTTCAATAGCTTTAGTCCTACAAAATGAATGGGGGGAAATACACCATTATGGCCACTAGATGGAGCTGAGGATCATCGGAAATAAATGTTTGTTAGTAACCGGATACAATGTTACAATTCTAGAGAACACTGGAGGGAATGTAACCATTGCTATCCCTGTAGTATCAATTGGTTACATTTGCACTATATTGCCAAAAGTATTGGGACGCCGGCCTTTACACGCACATGAACTGTAATGGCATCCCAGTCTTAGTCCGTAGGGTTCAATATTGAGTTGGCCCGCCCTTTGCCGCTATAAACCTTTCAAAAGACCTGAATCCAATGATTTGGAGGGTGTCCCAATACGTTTGGCAATATAGTGTATATACTAATTTCCTCAATATGCTCAGCGGTCTCTAGGATTGTAACACTGTATCTGCTTACTAAGATGTATTTCTTTCCTCTTTTAGTTCCACCTAGTGGCCATTATGTGGTATTTTGCCCATTTACTCTGTTCTGTATGAATGAATCCATTAACCACTTCAAGACCAGGTGTTTAGACCCCCTTCCTGGCCAGGCCATTTTTCAGTGTTCAGCGCTACGGTACTTTGACTGACGTTTATTCCGTCATGCAACGCTGTACTGAAATGAATTTTATACCATTTTTTGGGGACAGATAGAGCTTTATTTCGGTGGTATTTAATCACCACT